GACTAGAAGGTTGAGCAAAGGAGAAGTTGATCTGTGCGTTGAAAATGGGGCAAAGGTTGCTGCTATAGCCGTAGGATCTATTTTGTTAACTTTACGGACCGGATTAGTATTAGAACTCAATGACTATTATTGCGTACCATCTATTTCTAGAAATTTGATTTTTGTATCTTGTTTGGACAGGAAAGGTTTTACCTTTAATATTGGAAACAAATGTTGTTCATTCTCTTTTGGTAATATATATTATGGTAATGCAAGTTTGATTAATGGTCTTTATGTTCTTAATATGGATAATCTGATTAATAACATCAATAAAAGGAAGGTCAAATCGAATAGTTCAAATTTAACCTATCTCTGGCATTGTCGTCTTGGGCATATAAACGAAACTCGCATATCCAAACTCCATAAAGATGGATTATTGAACAAATTAGATTTTGAATCATATGGGATGTGCGAAGCTTGTTTAAAAGGAAAGATGACAAAGGCTCCGTTTGTTGGACAAAGTGAGAGAGCAAATGATGTATTGGRAATCATACATAGTGATGTATGTGGTCCGATGAACATACAAGCTAAAGATGGTTATAGATATTTTATTACATTTACTGATGATCTTAGTAGATTCGGCTATGTATATTTGATGTGACATAAGTTCGAGTCCTTTGACATGTTCAAATACTTTCAAAATGAAGTACAAAACCAACTTGGAAAGAGTATTAAGATTCTTCGATCTGATCGAGGTGGTGAATACTTAGACCATGTTTTTCTTGATCATCTTAGAAATTGTGGTATTGTATCACAATTCACTCCACCTAGAACACCGTAGCGGAATGGTGTTTCTGAAAGGAGGAATCATACACTGTTGGACATGGTACAATCTATGATGAGTCAAGCTGACCTTCCGACGTCCTTTTAGGGATATGCTCTAGAGACAGCAGCTTTCACACTAAACCGGGTTCCATCAAAATATGCTGAAAAGACACCATATGAAATATGGACTGGGAAGAGTCCCAAATTATCTTTTATGAAGATTTAGGGTTGTGAGGTTTACGTACGCCGTCTAATCACAACTAAATTAGAACCAAAATCAAATAAATGCATATTTGTAGGATATCCCAAAGAAACTATGAGATATTATTTCTATCATCCTCACGACAATAAAGTGTTTGTTGAGCGTACTAGTGTCTTCTTGGAAAAGGAATTTATTTCCAAAGGTATTAGTGGGAGGAATGTAGAACTTAAAATTGTTCAAGATCAAAATATGTCAATACACATGGAACCAACACAGTCACCACAAGTAATTGTGGATCTACAAAATGTTGTGGAAAGGCAGTCTAATGTTGTAGCACAACGTTCTCGTAGATCTTGTAGAAAATGGAATGAGCCTGAGAGATATGGATTTCTCATCACTCATACCAGTGATGTGATGCTTATGGATGATGAGCCCATTAGTTACCAAGATGCTATGACAAGCACTGACTCCGAAAAATGGTTAGAAGCTATGAGAATAGAAATGGACTCCATGTATGTAAACCAACTTTGGAACTTAGTTGACCCACCCAACGAGGTACGACCTATAGGGTGCAAATGGGTTTTCAAAATAAAGACTGACATGGATGGTAATGTGACTACCTATAAAGCATGATTGGTTGCAAAAGGTTTCAAACAAATTCAAGGTGTTGATTATGATGAAACTTTCTCCAGTCGCAATGATCAAGTCTATTAGAATTTTACTAGCCATTGCAACATATCACGATTACGAGATTTGGCAAATGGATGTCAAAACAGCTTTCCTTAATGGTAATCTACTTGAGGATGTATATATGATACAACCTGAAGGTTTTGTCACTCACAAAAAATCTCATAAGGTATGCAAGTTGCAACGATCTATTTACGGATTGAAGCAAGCTTCCAGGAGTTGGAACCATTGTTTTGATGAAGAAATCAAAGAGTTTGGTTTCTTAAAAAATGAGGATGAACCTTGTGTCTCCAAAATGATTAGTGGGAGCATCGTATCATTTCTTTTATTGTACGTAGATGACATACTACTCATTGGAAATGATATTCTGACACTTAAGCCTGTAAAGGCTTGGTTAGGAAAAAAAATCAATGAAAGACTTGGTTGAAGCTGCTATGTGTTAGGTATTCGGATCTATAGAGATAGATCGCGGAAATTACTTGGCTTAAGTCAGAGTACATATATAGACAAAGTATTGAAAAGGTTCAACATGTTTGATAGCAAGAAAGGGGTTCTTACCTATGTCTCATGTCATATCACTTTCTAAGACGCAATATCCTACTACATCTTAAGAGAGTGAACAAATGAGTAAGATTCCATATGCTTTAGCAATTGGATCTGTCATGTATGCCATGATATGCACTCGACCTGATATATCGTATGCTTTGTGCATGACGAGTAGATACCAATCTAATCCAGAAGATGGTCATTGGATTGTCGTCAAGAATATCCTAAAATACTTGAGAAAGAACAAAGGATTCATTCTTGGTTTATGGCGGTGAAAAAGAGTTGAGTGTAAAGGGTTACATTGATGCAAGTTTCCAAACAGATAAAGATGATTTTCGATCACAATCGGGTTTTGTGTTTTGCATTAATGATGGTGTTGTGAGTTTGAAGAGTTCCAAACAAGCAACAGTAGCTGATTCTACAACAGAAGCTGAGTACACCCCAGCATCAGATGCAACCAAGGAAGCCGTTTGGATCAAGAAATTTATTTCTCAACTTGGAGTTATTCCTAGTAGTGATAGTCCTTTAGAGTTGTTATGTGACAACAATGGAGCTATAACGCAAGCCAAGAAACCTAAATCTCACCAAAGATCCAAACATATTCTTAGAAGATATCATCTCATTAGAGATATTATTGAAAGAGGCGATGTTGGTATAAGTAGAGTGTCAACCGAAATCAATGATGCTGATACACTAACCAAACCATTAACATAGCAGAAGCATGAAGGCCACTATAGATCCATTGGTATACGATGCATGGATGATTGGTTTTAGTGCAAGTCGGAGATTGTTAGTGAATGCCCAAAAACCAATCATATGATGATTGTGACTTTGAGTTTTATTTCATGAAATTAATAAATAAATAAATAAAAAGGCATTGCCCATTTTATTATGTCTATATTATATTACGTGTTTTAATTATTCATAATAAATAACCTTAGAATAATGTATTCTAAATATCCCTAGTTAAATATTATTTCGGGTTTAAGGTTGAAGTAATATGATAATGACTAGCATATGTAGGGATTCATAAAGAGATATCGAATATGCATATGGGTACAAAATGGAGATTTTGTGTATCAGACGTGACTCGTTATGAGAACACTTCAGTGGATGTCATGTGAGTGTCATAAGTGTTTTCATATGATCAATGTACATGTAATTCTTTGACTTGAGAACATAGAGTTTGTTATGTGTGAGTAATGTATTTTGACATTTATTCTAATCATTTCGTAACTGGGTGACAGAATGATAGTTGGGTATGTTGCATATCACATGATAGAATTAGCATGTATCGAGATAGGATTTGTCACTCCTTTATGACGGGAGTGATGTCTCTAGGCCCCTTGATAAATATACTAAAGAAATGCATGCATGCTTAGATAATTGATATGGGATATCATTATCTACTTTTTTTAGTATATTAGGAAATCAAGAAACTAGAGATTGGACATAACGAGAATGACACATTCAATGTCTCGTGTTCATTCTGGACATCAAGGACAAAAGAATTAAATGTGTAAACTAAAATTGACTACAAACCGATAATTTGTTGTATCACCAATTCTGGTCATTTGAGTAATGGTGATGTATTGATAGATACCGCTCGTCGTTTATAACTAAAAATATTATATTTATATTTATTACCAACATGTCGAGAACCCATTAGGTCACATGCTTTGAGCATATTCGAATAAAGAGTTTCAATAATTAAAATGTTTAATTATCATATCTGATATATATCGATTTAATCTTATTAAATAAAATCAAATATTATTTATGTTGGACATAAATAAAGATGACTAGGGATGGGCTTTGTAAGAGAGTGAAGATGCATGAAAGTCTTACAGTCAAGCATGGTGAAGGCATGGTGATTTGGTTAGGCCATACCTTTCACATCCATATAAAATGTATGACATTTTATGCTGGTATTTTTTGGTCTTGCAATTCTCTCTCAAAATCACCTACAACAATATGCTACCTTTTCTTTCTAAGTTTTGAAACCGTGACTAGTATCACAAGAAGGCAAAGGATTCGGATTGTTCGAGAGGATACCGTGGAGGCATCAAGCTTTGTTTGTTGCTACGATTCAAAGTTTTGCTAACTGTGAGTTATAATTTCGAAACACCCGATTTATTTTAGTTCGTATGGGTCCTTGAAGGGTTACAATTTTATTTTCCGTTGTGCTTGAGATCCCGTAACCCAACAGAGAGAACCAACATCAATCCTTCAGATGGTGCTGATGACCCCTTAGGTAATCTTCCAACCTACCCCTTCATTTCTTCTAACCCGTGCTATCTTATGCTCAACCATCTTCTTTTTAGGTCCTTGCAATGAAGGAACGCCAGCCATGGAAGAAGATTATAACATGGCTGATGATGTGAAGCTGATTCTCTCGACCGTAGAGACTGTCTTAATTAAAATGGATCAAGTCCATAAAGGCATGCCTCTCAGGGATGACGTTTCCTCTGACCTCTCAGCTGTCAAAGCTGACGTCAATGACGTGAAGGAATGACTTTCTGTGGTGCAAGCTGATGTACGCATCAACGCTAAGGCTATCTCTACTCTCAACATCAAAGCCGATGAAGTGAATGCTCAGCTTACCAAGCATGGTGAGATGTTGCAGCAGATACTGTATCTTCTTCAACGTCGAGTACCAATTCCTACAACCTCCTTCACAGCTATGGATCGCCTATCGCTGGATCAGGCTCTCGAAGTCGGTCTTCTTGAAGCTCGATCTTTGACCATGCTTGAACAGTGAATGGACATTATAGCTCTGAGTCTTGATAACCTCTTCTCTCATCATGCTGATGACAAAGAGGGGGAGAAAGACTTGGCTGTTGCTGCTACTGCCGTCCCTACAACACTAGCTGAAGCCGATGCTCAAAGAGCTGAAGCTAGTGAAGCTGAGGTTGTTGATGATGCCATCATTTCCCATGAAGCTGAAGCTGAGGTTGTTGATGATGTCGTCAGAGTTGATGTTGGCGCTCATGACAAAGACCTTTCTATCATCCCTGCAGCTGATGCTGGTGATGAGAAAGATGAAGGTGAAGATGATGATGATGATGAAGATGATGATGATGGCTCTCCATCCCTTCCTGACGCTGGAAAAGATCTCGGTGGTGGTGATGATGAAGAGGACGATCACGACAACTTCACCATTCAATACCACAAACCTGCCAGCACTCTGAAAGGAGTCTCTCTCAAGGATTCGTCATCCTAAAGGGAGAAAGAGAAAGAGATTTCCACAAAGAACCAGAACACCTCCTAAAAAGACAAAGGTGTTGCTGAAGAAGGAAATCTGAAAGTCCTCTTCAAACCTGTCGTTCCTCAAGAATACACAGAACCCTCCAGGTTTGCAATCGTCACTTCCTTATTTCAACTCTCTTCTTTTATCCCTTCTACTACTTGTGGTCATATGGGGACCTGAAAACCCAACTTCTAGTGTTCCTAGCAACCAATAGATGACTCAGGTTAAGGAGCCACTCAACCAAACTAGAGTAAAAATTCCTTTTCATACCTCTAGTTATGGTGAGTTTGACTTCCTTACTGAAGCTGAAAGACTTGAAGCTCTCAAAGCTGATGAAAAACTTTGCATTCAACAGTAATAGACTGAGGACAACCTCAAGCTATCCAAGTCTCTTTCTACTCAAGTTCTTCCAAAGAAATCATCTAAAAAGATGGTGAACGATGTCAAGGCCCAAGCTAAATTGCTTTCAATTGCAGAAGCTGAACATGAAAAGGCAATGAAGTTGAACGACCGAGACAGGAAATGGAGCGAAGATCATTTAAATAAGAGAATAAGTCCTCATTGCATCTCAAGCGTTAATCAATGGACGAGTGAAAGATGGTGGACTTCTCATCTTCGTGCTCATCTCTAGAAACAACCTTGAAGTTGTTACTGAGTATCCTTCCTACCTTGGACAATACGGCTACAGTGAATGGCTGAAAATCCGCCAAGCCATTCAGTGCTCGAAGTCAAGGCACAAGCCAATAATTGAAGACATTCTCAATGAGCTGATCAAGAAGATGTCCAAATTTTTTGTTGTACCTACAAAGCCGATATTGAAGAAAGGTGGAAGAAGAAAACATTCAGATCCTAACGATGGACCAAATCTGAGGAATGAACATGAAACAAAGTTCTCCCTAGAGGAAGTCTTGAAAGATTCGAAGAAGCCAGACATCTCTATGTTGAACCTCTCTTTGCCAGTGAAGGGTCCTTACATACCCAACACTGTGCATCTAAATCCTGAGTTTGGATTTACATTCCTTGACTATGAAGATGAACACAGCTTTCAGAGAGTGCCTAAGCTAGGTCTTTGTCCTATATAACATCTTGATTATCTAAGATATTGGTTGGACAATGATCTTTATGGTAAGATGATAGACCGTAAGATCAGAAAATAATTTCTACGTTGAAAGATGCTCGGAGAAGAAGTACCTGGTTACATCGATAATCACTGAGTCTGTTCAGTGATCACTAAAGCTTGTATTGTAATACTACAACAACAGAGATACTTCAAGAAGACAAAACTCACACCCAAGAACCTTGAGTGAATGTCGAAGACTGAAACTGAAGAATAGTGACCGGTGCGTTCGTGATTTGAAGCGGTATTCAGTGATTACAACCTGGTCAACATACGTGTGAAAACTGCACAAGCCTCAATGAATGCTGAAGAAACCTCCAACGTTATTTCAGCATTCAGCGATCAAATGAAGCTTGCCATGCACGATTGTTTGTCTTGTCCTTCCACACACAAAGGACAAACCCATACCCTTTCAAGAGTATAGTATTGCACGGAGCCGACTAGTCGACTCTAGTACCCACCAACTCAATGAAAGGATGTTTACTCATGAATAAATAATAGTACTATTCATTGTTGCAAAGGACAAGCTTTCCTCTACAAGTTTGACGCGTGTTCTAACCCTTCTGAATTGCATTTAATGCAATGGGTATAAATAGCTGAGTGATCTCCTCATGCACTACAACACTACTACAACAGAAGACATACGCTTATCTTCAAGAAAGTTAGAATTTCTCTCTAATTCTAAAGTTCTTACCCAAGAAGAACATCTTTCTGTCTTTATCTTATTTGGCAAATTTCTTATATTTGTTAAGTGTATTTGTGTGTAATTCTAGATTGTTTTAGATAGGATATCTTTACCTTTTCTATTTCCGCAAACAATCTGTAAAAATTTGTATTGATCCTTCTATATCAATATATATTTTTAAAAGTGAAAATTTTGGTGTTTGTGTTTATCCCCCCACCCTTCTACAAACTGTTCGCCTCTAAACTCTTGTAGATCCAGCTGGGACCAACAAGTGTGCTTTTTTGAATCTTTTGAATCTTTGATAAGATTCTTCTTCAACTATCGAGACTGCTCATGGTTCAGAATTATGCCAAACAAAGCACTGAGGGATAAATTTTGAAGGTCTTTTGATACTTTGAGACACATTGAATAAGTATCCCAGGTTTTAAGTAGACATTCCAAGAATTTTGTTACAGTCTCAGAGTTCAAATATTTTCGACCTACAATTCTAAAGTCAATTAATAAATAGTTAAAACTTTGATGTATACTAGACAAATATTTGTTTCTACCACATATGAACATTTCATATTGCCTCACCAGATTTACTTTTCTGGTCTCTTGTACTTTAATAGTACCTTCATATTAAACACAAAGTGTTTTCCGCATGGCTTTAGAAGTTTTGAGGTTCATAACAAAATAATATACCTCATCAGGGAGTGTCATAGCAATGACAGTTCTAGCTTTGGTGTCAACGACCACCTTCTTACTGTCATCATCTGCCTATTTTGAGCATTTTCTGCTACATGCCTTTCAAGTACGGTAGCAGTATTAGCGGCGACAGGAACAACTTTTTTATGGTCACTGAATGAACATAGGGTCCATTAGTAATATAGTAAGAGGTCTCAGGATCTATATCTTATAGAAGAGATACATATGATTCTTCCGATGACTAAAGTTATCTCTGCTGAATCGTGCAGGTTAGGTAAGAGAGCCATTATCATGATAGTTGTTGTTTGTGTTGGTCATAGCCATTTTGTAGAATAGCTAGAGGAGTACGAAAAGAAAGAGAAACACTACTCTGATACCATTAGTTGGTCTCAAAGAGATTCTACAAGTATAAACAGTTTGTAGAAACGGAGGGATGAACACAAACACACAATTTTTACTTTTTAGATTGTATTATTGATTAAGGAAGAACCAATATGGAATTTATAGATTGTTGAGGAACTAGATAAGAAAAAGTCTTAATCTAAACAACCTTGAGAACTACTAAGTTATTTCTTGCACAATAAAGGTAAGAACAAGAGAGAAGAGAGTTTAGAAGATGTAGAAGGTGTAGCTAAGAAGAAGACTTTTCTTAGATATTTATACTGGTTCAGAAGGTACAATCCATGTGTCAAGAGATGAGTGGAATGTTTGTCTTTGTTATTCAGATATGGCAGTCTTTTGGCTGTTCATAACCAGTTGCTTTAGATAATTGGTAAGCACATTTGTAGATAGAAAAGCAAATCATATGTACCTTTGTCTGGTCAAAACATGGCCTATGTACTTTTGTGCAAGAGAGTAAGAACAAGTCTTGATCTAGCTATAGAGATGAGTCGTTGAGGACTCCTTCAGTTATCGCCGAGTATTAGCCAGATTTTATACTTTGATGTGGAAGTCATGGTATCACTGAACGTCGCTTTAGATCATGAGTAGACCATCTTTGTCTTTAGCTACCTCTTTGACATCACATAAGTTTTCTTTAGGTTTGAGTTTGTCTTAAAGGATTTACTTAAGTTCAAAACCGTTATATTACATGTTCAGATATAACTGAACAGATTCAGTTATATCTAATCACTAAAACCGATACATAAAACAGAACTAAGTATTTTTCACTAAGTAAAAGGATCGTCATCAAATCACTGAGAGAGTTTGGATCAATAATATGTTGTAAAAAAAGATTATGAGAAAGTAGAAAATGAAAACAAAGATTTCAATATTAAAAATGAGTTTCTTTCAAAAGAGAAAATTGATATTTACAAAAAGATCAAACAACTTGAAAACTTGAACTTCAAGAGAGGTCAGACAGAACAAACTCTGAACTTATTGACTAGTAATCCTAAGGACACCAAATTTTATAATCAAAATATGGGACTTGGTTTAAAAGAGTATATTGTCTTGAAAATGCCTCTTCAAGTTTAAATGATTTTTTTCTAAGTGGGGTATTGATAAATATGATGAAAAAAATTCAAATTCAAGTGTCAAAGATGAAAATCTGGTAGAAAGTATGGGTGAGCATCGGAACTTGTACCTTCCTTTGGAACCGGAACCGCTCCGGAGATGCCGGTTCCAAAATTCACCATTTCGAATCTTATACAAAAGGTTCTTCCATACCAACTCCTCAAAAAAATAAAGGCGAAAGGTTGCTTGCTTTACTTTGAGAAAGAAGTATCCCCTTTCTCCAAAATGGGTTTGTGTTCCGATCGTGGATAACTACAACTAACACTTCTTCCTCTTATAGGCTCGCTTCTTCAAGCTCTGCCAAAAGTTTGTATCGCTTCTTTACTTTAAAGTCAACGCCCCTTTACGACTTTTCCGACCGGCGCCCCCGAGTCGGTAGCCGGGCTTCGGGATATTACTCAAGGCGACTAGCTGGGTAGCTCTGTAATCTATCAAGGAGGTAGCTTTCACCTATAAGGACAGTTGGAGTGGACGGTTCTAGTCAGATCTCCACCGAAAGGGAGAGGAGAACAAATGACCCACTAGCCTATAGATACTAGCACCTATTCTATTTCCATTGGACTTAAGTCTTAGGGGCCGTTTACCAAACACTTACCCGGTAAGTGCTTACAGGTAAAAATTTAACACTATTAATTACTTACACCGTAAGATTTTAGTCCATCAAAACGACATTGTATGCAATAATTCACCCGGTAAGTGCTTACGTGATAAAAGTCGTCATTCTCACTTACCGGGTAAGGCTCATAGTCCTTGTATCGCTCTTACTAGGTAAGATTCTTAGTCCTTACCATATTCATCCGGTGAGGTAATGTGACTTGGTAAGTGCTTATTCGAGTAAGTGTTTGGTAAACGGCCCCTTACTTATTTCGCGGGACCAGGGCGGAAAGAAACACGGTATGAGTAGGAGTCAAGTGGAACATAGAAGCCGCATATTGGTTTGAAGCAGTTAAATCAGAACCAATGTGATTG